TCCCTTTACTCTACTAGTCAACTCTAAATCACTCTACTCTAGTTAGACTAGACAACATCTGTAAATCTATATTGCAAAAATTCTATTTCTAGTCTAAATCTAAATATTTATTATATTAGACTCTACAACATTTTAGTAAAACTATTACTAGGGTTTATATCTAATCTAGAATTTAGATCTAGAATCTATATATTTATATAATAATAATATAGATCTAGATCTAGAATTTAGATCTAAATCTTGTCAATCTAGATTTTGCATAACTTACAATGTTAAAAGTATCCATAGACACATCATATGATTCTATGTCTATAGATGATAGAGGCAGCTATTAAATAGATCTAGATCTAGTCAAAATCTACTATAAATGGCTGTCCTATAATGTCCTATGTCACTGTCACTGAACGCTTAGTCTGAAGTAAAACTTACATTTTTTTTTTTTTTCAGTTCCAGATGTTCAAAGATCTATTCCCATGTAAAGGAGGCAACAAGGACTCCTATGCTCAGTTTACTTTGGATGTTAAGAAAACAAAGTCAAAGTTTGAATATATCAAAGATTCGCCAGGTAAATAAAGGCTCTCGAGCGTTTACTTTTGAATGTAGTTTCCACCAACACAAGTTAAAATCATCTGTAGCTCCACCATCAAATATTCACTTATCCACAACGCATGGAGCAAACATATATAGTTCCACAAACAATTGTTCAATGATCCACAATGAGTGTCTCAAACATCTATAGCTCCACATTCTGTTGTTCAATGATCCACAATGAGTGTCTCAAACATCTATAGCTCCATATTCTGTTGTTCAATTATCCACAATGAGTGGCTCAAACATCTATGGCTCTACATTCTGTTGTTCAATGATCCACAATGAGTGGCTCAAACATCTATGGCTCCACATTCTGTTGTTCAATGATCCACAATGAGTGGTTCAAACATATTTAGTTCCACAAAAATTGTTCAATGATCCAAAATGAGTGGATCCAATATTACTAGTTCAACCACCTGTAGCACCACCATCTGTAGCTCCATCCTCAGTGGATCAGCCATCTCTTATGGGAAGTGTTTCCATTTCCCAATTTTTTACCACCTAGTGACCTTTATTTAACAGATGTGTTTGTGTAACTAGTTCATAGTTTTTACCTTCTATCTAGAAAAGGGCTAAGACTGTTGTGTGATAGGAAGTAATTTAACCATTTGGAATAGGAAAGTACTTTGTAAATGATTATTACATAGATTACTTTGTTTAATTGTCCACAGTATTATTTTTTTTAAAGTACCTATATTGTTTTGTTTGTTCTGCAGATAAAATTTTTCACTGGGTCAACAATGGCGAAATTGGGAAAAGTATTAGAAACTTAAATGGAACGGTACAGGTTCTCCAGGATGGAAACTATTACATTTTCAGCCATTTGACCTTCAGCAGCATGGACACACCCTTAGCAGAAGGTGTTGAGGAAAAAATTGTCACACATTCTATCGTGAAAAAACCAGTGTCGAGCAGGAAAGGAAGCCCAACCCTTTTGATGGACCAATTGACAGTGAAGAAGCAGGAGATCAGGGGCAGCACAAATAGCGGCGTGGTTTTTCTTGAAAAGGGGGAGGAGATTTTCGTTTACGCCTCAGTGCCGAACCTGCTCAAAGACGCCGAGTATGGCAACGTGTTTGGATTATTTCTCATTTGAGAGCTTATCATAAGTGTTGTGCATTAACTCATCCAGTGAAAGTGGAGATATTGGATGGAGCAACAGTGAACAGACTTTTTGTTTTTCTTGCGTTAATGTTTTCATGTCCTTCCTGCTATTGTTGAATGCTGTGTACATCTGTTATACTGTAAATATGTATAAAACAAACAAACAATCATAATAACAAAAAACGTTTAAATATAAAAAATTTTTGTCAACAAAGTCATAAACTAAGAAGTCACAATTAATGTTCAAATAACTATGTATGCAAAGCTAAGGTGAATCTGATGTTCAGTAAATCTGCTTTTTAAGTGTCCTAGTGAAGAGGAAAAGTTTTTAAACTGCTGTTTTCTCCCTCTGTCTTCTTTTCTCTGTAGCTAAAAGCAAAATTAATAGAAATTGAAACCCAATGTGAAATTGCTTTATTTTAAGGAGGAAATTCGTTTCGTTAATTTACGACTAATGGGTTATAATTTTTATACTATTCACATTGTTAAAATGCTGAAAAAAGTTACTGACCTTCAGCACTGTGACCAGCATTACGCCATTGTCCTTCAATGTCTGCTGTCTGTTAGGAGATATTTATATTTATATTCCTTGCATTCCAGAATTTCCTGTGTTGCTCCTCAATATGGGTTGCTGTGGAGACATATCATCGTGATAGCCTTTAATTTAAAATTTAAATGTCGAAGATATTTTCTACCTGTGTGTGTGGGCGTGTGCATGCATTCAATTAAATTTTCTTTTTTGTTTCCATCGGCCAAAAAATGAAAAGATATGTTCTGACATTGCCACATGCATCTATGTATATGTTTAATAAATATTGTGTAAGTATTTAATGATGAAATTGAACAGACTAATTTATTCTATGTCAACGCATACTTTTAAACTTTGTATGTATGCGTTTTTACATCACTCTTTTTTCAACCTGTTTTTTTTTTTTTTTTTAATGAAACATTGTTACCACTTCTGCTGAATTTACATGTTTCAGTCTTCTCTGTTTGCTTTGTCATACTATAAAAATCTTCCTGTAATCTCCAGATTTCTGAAATCTGTCTTCAATTTTTCTAACTTATTTTGCATCCCTTTCCAGTGTACCGGGAAAACAAGTTTGAGCTTATTATAGTTGTGGCCAGACTTCTTTGACCCGTCTGGCAGGCCAAAAGAATTTTCAACGCGCATGCCAGGGGCTGCATTGGTGAAAAAATTGTCTAGTACAATTGAACCTCTGTGGCCTTATTATTTATATGGACAGACTTTTTGTTCAGCCAAATAGCATTATGTAAGGGGCTGGATATATCCCACTGGCTGTAGTTTGTACAACACAGTTTATAGAGTGTCTTAATATGACCAAAAGTCTATTGTTTTTATTTTTCCATGTGATGTCAAACACTTATGAAAAGTCCAGGATAAGAACAGAGCAGTCTCAGGGTCAGTAGCATATCTTCCCCTTCTCCCCATTCCCTTCCGTTTTCATAGAACTTTCAATCACATCTGTTAAGAATAAAGAATTGTTACTACTATGAAGTTAATGTAGGTAAGATTGTTAGGTAGATACCTTTTTTTTCCATAGTATTTAAAGTTACTTATAGTTGGTAATTTTTTTTGTTAGGTTTGAACTTAATGTTGAAGTGATATATTGGTCAGTGATGAAACAAGGGTAATTACCAAACAAATTCTGCATTTTGATTACCTCACGTCTGGTTATACGGTGTATCCCAGCCTTCTGTGGACCAATCAGACTAAATAACATAAAACACATTCCATGTAATTTTAATTTTTTCAGGCTGAACACTTTGCAGGAACACAACTTCCTGTTTTTTTTTTGTGTTTTTTTTTTTCAACATTTTGAGACTGATGAGATAATGCATTAAAAATTATGAACTTAAAAAGTTTAACTTTCAATTAATATCAACTGATCCCGCCCTTAGCCTCTTCTATTTTCATCATTTTTTTTTTTTAATTTTGAAACAGTATTTATGTGTATTTCAACATAAAAGAAAAATAACAATACTGGAGAAATTTGCAAAATTTGACAATAAATTCATTTTACTCATGTATGTAGATGTAGATAGAATTACCTACTTAAATGTTTTTTGTTTTTTTTTAAAGAGTATTTGTTAAATGCAAATATGTGATGACGTTGCTAAACATGTTTATCTTCTCTATCATTAGCCCTAGATATTGAGTTTAGGGACATTTGCAGATGTTTTAAATATGCTTATGAATTTTACAACTCGAATGTACTTCTGAAGCAAAGATCTATAGGTCTCTAACAAGATGTGATTTGTACGTTCAACAAAAGATGATTATGGTGGTTAGTACTCTGGAACTTTAGTAACAAAAGAAATTTGTTGGATTCACTATTGTACTCACTTTGATTATATCATGTGTTCATGTCAATTATCATTGATTCAGGGGGTTCTCACACTTTTTATAAATCAGTATTTTTTTAATTTTTTTTTTGCGAGTTTAAATTTGCTTAAGAACCATCAGTATAAAAAACACAGATGTGTGTTGTGACATCCAGGAATTTAAGAAATGGGTACATCACGAAAATGCCTTTAGCCAAGAAATGTGAGAATCCTTCAGTGTGGGTCATTTCATATTGAATTGGCCAAGTCATTTATAATATATTTTGTACAAAGATTTGCTAAATGCTTTGCTGGGCCGTTCGCTTGATAGTCAGTTTAAATAGTTTTATTTATTATGTTAATAAATATTTTTTTTTAATCATTATCTAAAATGACTTGTGTCCTTTTTTTCAAGATATGGCTTTTTTTTTTTTTTTATCACTTTTATGACACAATTTAAGTGCTTGTAGCGAGAGCTTTTCAAAAGCAATTTTTTTTTTATATTTCTACCATGAAAAAAGTTAAGAAGAAAGATCAAATAAACGAAAACATGTTTTACATGTGATATGATGCTGACCTCTTGACCTCTGTGATACAGCAACATAGAACTTAAGATTATGTTTTCCCTTTGATGAAATGTTTGTAAAAAAAAAACTCGTGCCGTCATTTAAAATGAACTTTTTAATTGACTGGAATTATTCATTTTCAATACACTTTGTTATGTATGTCTACAACTTTTTCTCTGGTTTGTGTAAACTTTCTAATATTTCTACAATTCGGCTCTAACTTTGGTCACTGGGCATCTAAATGGGCTACTCTGTTTAATTAACAAAGAAAATCTTTTTATTCTTATAATCTTTTGGACAACCAAAAAACTTTTTTTTTTCCCAATTGTTTATATTATGGGTTGAAAACTTGGTTTAAAAAAACTTTTTTTTTTCCCAGTTGTTTATATTATGGGTTGAAAACTTGGTTTAAAAAAATTTTTTTTTTCCCAGTTGTTTATAGTATGGGTTGAAAACTTGGTTTAAAAAAACTTTTTTTTTCCCAGTTGTTTATAGTATGGGTTGAAAACTTGGTTTAAAAAAAACAACACTTCATGTAAATGTTTGTTGGACAATCAACTTAGTTGAATACGAGACACGCTGTTTTGAATTTAAAATTGATTTCATGTGCAGAATTATTAAACAAATTTTTTTTTTTAATGACTGTTACTATGTTGTGAAAAAAATGATGTGACGCTAGTTAAGATGTGTGCATGTGTGTGTTGCATGGGCTAATGTTAGTGTGTGAAATTATTTATTGAGTATGTGGCTATATTTTTCTATGTAGACATTTCCGAAAGATGTGAGTGAGGTGTGTGTGTGTTTCTGTGTGGGTATGTGAGAATGATGAAAAGGAATGCTATTGTCACCTATTATGGTCTGGTTGATTTTTATGTGCATGCCTCCATTGAAATATTTTTATTGTTGACATTTAAACATAAAAAAAAATTTTTTGAAAAAAAAATAATTAAAATTGAACTTCAACAAAATTGGTTATGCTTGAATTATTTTTAGTCACATATGGTTATACTGACCAAAGCTTGATGGAATCGACCTCTGCTTTATTCAATCAGCCTATTAATCAAACCAAAGTGCATCAGTACCAAAACCATATCTAGTAACACTGAACCTATTTATGTAATTGAACCTATCAGTTTGACTGTACTAGCTATTCTAGCATTTATATTGGCCAAATAGATGTTTTTTTTATATTTGTGTTTGGGTAAGTTTTTATAAAAGAATGTTTAGTGCATACATTCTTTATAAAATAAATAGGAATATTGTCCTCAGACATGTATAATTGAAAAAAGCAAAATGAAGAAACTTATGAAACAATATTTATAAATATAGAAGTAATCAAACAAGAAAATTATAAGACTATCTAACTTACATAGAATCTGTAATTAAATGCAATAGTTGAACAGTAATTAGCACTCCATTTAAAAATAATTATAACCTAATATTTTCTTATATATTAAGATCATATGTGATACTAGGTCCTAATTCACATTCAAAGAACTTTAATTAATTACTAATTCAGTAATTTAAAAAAAATATATTTGAAACCTAGAATCAAATTTATTTTGTAAAGTAACAAATAGCTAAGTTTGAAATGTGTAACTGGCAGTTCTTGTTTTAACTATGGCCTCCATCAGTCGTCAAGCGACTATGGAATACTATGGATCACCTCATGGGAATGAGATGAATGCGTGGGCATTAATTGTGGTCGGAACGATGTTGCCCACACATCAGTTCCCCCCTCTCCACACAGCTGATGTATCCAAGGGAACGGCAGTGCCGATACAATTAGGGGTCAGCGGCGACGCAGGGTGTAGCACTGAGTGCTGCTTCCTGCCTTAGGGTCGCCAGCTGCTGATTTTTCCTCAGGGTTGACTCTCGAAGCCTTTCCCATGATTTGGGTATAGCTGCAAGGCAACAGAGGTTTGAATTAAGAGTTTTCCTTCTAGGCTAACGAGCCCCTCCTGCCCGAAGCTTACTGATTAAGGCGCCAGTTACTCGCCTGTGCCCCTTCTGTTAGTGAGAATAGTTCCGCCGTACTCAATATCTGAGCTACACGCGAAGGCCAGGATTTGGACTGGTTGTCAGAGGCTATTTGAGATGCATGCCATTAGGAAGCATTTTATAGGTAGTGGAGTGCTTACACCCATTACCACTTATGCAATGAAAACCCTGCGGAAGTAACAAACAAAATGTTTGATACTTAGAAAGTTTCCCTTCCAAGCAAATATACACTAAACTCTTTTACTATCATTCATCTGGCCGTGGATGCTGATGTGCCAAAAAAGAGATACTGGGGGCAAACTAGTAATGTTTTTAAATGGTGCCTTACCAACTGGTGTTTTAGAATGGTAATAACCAACTGGTGTTTTACTATGGAGCCTAACCAATATGGTGCTTCAGAATGGTGCTAACCAACTAGTGTTTCAGTAAGATGCCTAATCAAGTGGTGTTTTAGAATGGTGCTAACCAACTAGTGTTTGGATGGCGCTAACCAACTGATGTTTTGATGGCGCTAACCAACTGGTTTTTTAGAATGGTGCTAATCAACTGGTGTTTTAGAATGGTGCTAACCAACTAGTGTTTTAGAATGGTGCTAAACAATTAGTGTTTTGATGGTGCTTAACTAACTGGTGTTTTAGAATAGTGCTAACCAACTAATGTTTTGATTGTGCTAACTAACTGGTGTTTTAGAATGGTGCTAACCAACTGGTATTTTAGAATGGTGCTAACCAACAGGTGTTTTACCTTTTTTCTAATTGCTAAAAAAAAAAAAGATAATCCGGAATTTTACAAATTCAAATTGTATGTAAACGAAAGTCAAGTGACTATGATTAAGAAGTAAGAACATCGTATTCACGGCTTATAACGGTTTGATTCCCCCAAAGGGCTTGAGGGGCTACAAACTGGTGTCTCGATATTTAGAAAGGAAGTGACGTCACGATTTACCAGAATGACAATCTATGACTGAAATATTTGATTATTGACACAAATAAACTGACTTTCAGCTAGAGTCAGTGTAACACATGAAAATTACACAACAAAAAAAAGAAATTAGTTTCTTTTTATTTTCATATAAACAATACATGCGTGCCAGTGCATACCTTTCTGATGCACTAAAGTTATGACAAAATCAAAGGTAACCATGAACCAGATAATTACCAAAGCGCTATGACTGACTGACTGACCGACCTATCTGTATGCTTTTATGTGCGTGGAAGTTTAGGTTCAAGAAGCGTGCATTTGGCATATAGTCACGTAGATCTAGGAAGTTTAGGTACTAGAAATTAAGTACAGGTAATTTAGGCACTGCAGTTTAGGCACCCGGTAATTTAGGCACCGGTAAACTGTGCACTTTTTGACAACGCAAAAAAAAAAAAAAAATAGGTAGCGGAAAATTGGGTACTCTTTAATAGCAACCTTAATTTTGAAGATATTAAACCAAATTTTAACGTAACGTATCTTTAGGCTAGGTGCTATTGGGGACGTTAACAAAAAATGCAAATTATAGCAATTTGTAACTGCATGTTCATGATACAAAAGAAAAGCTGACAAAATAAAGAAAGAGGACAATCGTGAGAATGCGGGGGAAAAGGGGTCTCAGATTAAGAGCCATTATATATTATAGACATCACAGGATTCAGGGAGCGGAGATAGAGATGATTCCCCGCTCATTGCTTCACCCCCCCCCCACCACCACATACCCCTAAGGTTGATGGGTGGTTTTCGGTATTGATAATTACGCAGGTTCTGTTTCTCGACTAAATAACCGGATGCCTAAATTAAAAGTAAAGGCGGTCTAAAGGGAAGATGATCTTAAGGTCATCTGTTTCTTTGGCCAACGGTTAACAAGCAGGTTGTCATGTGGCCAGCACAACGACCAACCGCCTTTACTTTCCCGCAACTTAAAAATCCCGAAATTCAAAATCCCAGTCGTCACCTAAATTCGAACCTAGGACCTCAGAATCGGAAGCCAAGCACTTAACCACTCAGCCACAGCGTCTCCCAGGATGCCTTAATTTCGATGTCTAAAATTCCAGACACCAGTCACGTATTTTTGTTTATTGCACCAAAGTATTACAGTTAAAATAGACTTTATCGCGCTCTATCGACTTTATCGCGTTTATTGCGCAATCTTATGCATTGCCATGTTGTTGTTTTAGATGCCATATTAGAGTCATGTTAAAGATTTTTATGGCCTTTTTTTGACCATATTAGAGCCATTTGAGGTCACGTTAGAACTAGCGATCTATAAGGCAGATGATGTTAAGGTCATTTATTTCTTTGGCAAACGGTTAACGAGTAGGGTTTCATGTGGCCAGCACAACGACTAACCGCCTTTACTTTCCCCAACTAAAGTCAGAGTTGGGTAGACTCAGGGACGCCCTAAAAATCCCGAAATTCAAAATCTCAGTCTTAACTGAGATTCAAACCAGGGACACCAGGTTCGGAAGCCATGCGCTTAACCACCCCACCATCGCGCCCAACGCTATAACTATGATAGGACCATATTTGAGCCATGTTAGGACCATAATAAGGCCATATTGGGATTATGCTAGGATCATATTTGAATCTTTGTTTGACAATGTAATGACTATATTAACATCAGAACAATTTAGAGGCATAGTAAAGCTATGTTAGGGCCATTTCGGTAAGGGCCATGTTCGATACTTTTGAGCCATAGTTTGGGCCATATTAAGATCATTGTAGGGCCAAGAATATGTGCTGTTTGGTTGGTTGGGTGATATCCCTATTAAGATAGTATTGCTCAACTTTATGAAGTCAACAGAAGAGATTTTAAGAGCGAAAAAAAGAGAACGAAAGAAAGAGTGAGAAAGATAGAGAGAAAGATAGAGAGAAAGAGGGAGAAAAGAGAGAGAAAGGGGGAGAGAGAGAGAGAACGAGAAAGGGAGGATATATAGAGAAAATAAATAAAATAGATCGCTAGAACTATTTAAAAAAATACATCTCCATATGTTTTACTAACTTTTTATAAGCACAAATGACCAGGCCTACGTTAAAACTGTAAAACACCTAGATCTAGATCGAAATACGATCATCTCTAAATACTAGGTCACGCTGCTTAACGATTTCGATCTAGTGCAATGATGGTTGACAGCTGGACAGAAGTGGAGGTGCCGAGGAGAGGTCAAGATGACCACTTGACCAGCGAGCTGTTACAGATGACTGGAGAGCAGGGGCAATGAGAGAAGGGAAAGGGTGTTGAAGTGACCGCTATGACATCACTTGTACAGGGAGACGGAATTTCAGTAGTCGCCTGGTCAATTGGACGCGGTGTAGAATCATTTTTTCTTTCCATCTGCACGTAGCTTTTAGAGAAAAGGTGGTTAGAGATTAGGTAAAATCAACCAATAAAAATGTCCAGTGTGTTTGGGGTCGGGGTCACCTTTAACAATTTGCCTCAATGTCGTGTGTCTTGAGTAAAATAGTAAAATACACTAAAATGTATTTTATAAAAAAGCGTTGGGTATCTTTAGTATGAGTTAAGGAGTAGACGCTATTAGTTTTGTGTGGTCTGTCCGTCCGTCCCATTTAGATCTCGTAAACTAGAAAAATATTGAAAATCCGACATCATGATATTTTAGACCTTTCAAAATCTGATGCAACGGCTACTTTTTTCCTTTTTCAAAAAGCGAAAAATTTAATTTTTTAAAATTAACTATGCAAGCAGTTTTTTATTCATAAAAATACACCATTTTTACAACTATTCATTATTAATGGTAACAAACACGGGAGGCTATTTACTAAGGGGGATAACTATTTACCATACTTTTAACACATTTATGAAAACGGTTTTAGATTTTTTGTCAAAATATTATTTTTTTTTACAAATATATTGCTAAGTAAATTAGGTGCTATCATATGTTTAAAATATATGTACAAAAAGAAAAATGTTTACTTTTTTTAAAAGAGAAAAAAGCAATTTAATATGCATATAAGTGGAACATAA